CTTTCCTATCTGCCACTGTGCAGTTAGCAAACCATACACAGGTGCAGTAGGTTAAAATGCTATTTTAGGTTAAAAAACTATCTAGGTTAAAATACTATTTTTTGTGATGAAGTTTTTCATTCAGTACAGTTGCCAGACATAAAAATGGTTGCCTACTCCTCATCTCTGGGGATCTCATCTTCCTTGTCTTGTATCTTCAGATAGTCAGCAGGACTGGTATCTATTATTTGGAAGCCAAACAGGATTGAGATTTTGTTAATGTTCATCCTTCTGCCTGACATTTTCTGAACATGAGCTGAAGTAGTTTTGAATGTATGGTACTGAAAATCCCCAGGCTTGTCCTAAACAAGTTCAATATTGATGTCAAAACTGCCTTGTCAAGAGCTGCTTAAGATCTAGCTATCATATCAGCCATTGTCCTATTTCAGATAATATGTTAGGACAGATCTGGACTCTTCTAATGCTGTTGCACACCGCTTAGAAGGTTTAAGCCAACATTATTTTTCTAGGTCAAGTGAAGATCTAACTTTTTATTCTTAATTCAGGAATCAGTGCCTACTGCCTGACTATAACTTTTATCTCTTAAGTGCCTCTCTGTCAGTATTATTGTAATTATGTATATATGTTGTAAATTATTGCTTATTTTACTTTCTTTGGACTTTTACTTTGGTTATTTTGTGGATTGTAACAAGCAGATTCTAACGATTTCAAATACATAAAATTTGTTCCAGACTGAGGAGAAATTCTCCATGTAGGGGAGCTGGTAGAGATGGACAGATGATGGATCAATGATTAATGCAATTTCCTATATTCCTGTTTCAGAATATAAAACTCTTTTCCTGAAACATCATGTGAAATGGTCAAATTCATTAAAAAGGGGGTATTGCAAAAAATACCCAGGATATCTTTAAGATTGTAGCAGAGTGTTTCTTCTATGGATATGCATTTCAGATGCAAAATACAGTGGAATTATACATTGTAGCTTTGCCTTCCCCTGGAAAATTTCCTGCGGGTACCTATAAAGATGAACATCCAGCTGGGATCCATCAGACGCTGTCATTAAAGGATTTTAGAAAAGTCCTGACAACTCATCTGTTTTCCTTGGCCTTTTTGTGATTGTGTTCAGTTGGATTGTTCTTGCTTTTCATCTTTAGTTGTGCAATATTTTAGTACTGTCTAGGCTAGAAATGGTTTATTGCACAATTGATCGATTTTATTAATTTTTGCTCTTTTATTATTTATTAGATTGTATTATATAAGCTACATGGGGGGGGCTTTAACCCTTAAGTGACCTAGAAATGCCTTTAAAACATAAAACAAATAATGAGTAACATGTAGCCCACACTATGTCCTCTGATTTATAAGAATTGAATTCATTTAGACAGATTTGAGTCTAAATGAATTGAATTCATTTAGACGGGCTTGCGTCTTTCTCTCTTTTGTTTCAGAATTTAATTATGAGCTATTGGTTTTATTTCCTTGACTCAGGGTGGGATTCTTTATGAAAATGGATTCCAGTGTCTTAGCACTGTGTCAAGGCTATGGTCTGATAGGAGAATGCAGAACATTTTAACTTAATAGTTGGAACTATGCTATTTAGTGGCTTTTGACTGATACTTCCATCTATTTGTTCATTAGCTATGTGCTTTGGTGTAGTCAAATCTGGGAAAGTTGCCAAAGCATAAAGCAGTTTCTGCAAAGCAAAGGAAAAGCTTTTCACATCTAGAAGAATATATAAAGCATATTGCTTAGTATATCTATGCATAGATTTTCCAGAGTAGTCAACCAAGAAAAGAAAATAATGAAAAGCTATGAGAACAGTGCCCTTGAGAATTTGAGAGAAGTAGTGTTAAAGCAATGTCCTCTGCTATTGGCAGAGAACAGATCAAGATTAGGTATTTTGGCATATTGTATCTAAGCCTCTGAGCTTATGCTTGCTTTTGAGATCTATAGGCTTCACGTGTTAGCTATACATAAGCCAGCAGCAGTATTTAAATACTTTGTGATGAAGTTCTTTGTTGTATATATCTGAGCAACATGGAAATGGAGATAATTGCTTTTGTGATCTGGTGGGGATGTACCATATTTGTTCTCCTCCCTGAAGACTAGAAGAATCATACATGCTGCAAATGTAGGCTGATTATCTTCCTGGAAGAGAAGATGAAGAGGCTAAAAACAAAATAGTCACTCTCCAGCTTATCAGGGAAGATGAGGAATTCTTGCAGCAGACATGGGAATGTTTGCAGAGGGTTAACAGTACCCTTAAGTCTCCCAGAAGACAGAAGAAAACCAGGTGGATGGAATGAAGAGATGGAGGAATGTGAGATACGGGTTTTTATACTTTGGAGTTTCAGAATGGATTCCAGGGCCTCCCCACTGATGATGCTTATGTATCTCTGGATGAAGAGCAGCTGCCACAAAGAACCTGAGGAAGAGGACCTTACATGCTGAGCAAAGGAAAGAATTCTGGCCTCTGCCCTGAAGATGAGGAAGCCATGTGTGGTAGTGAGACTCCCTACTCAGAGAGACTGAAGCAATGATCTATAGGCCTGATAATTTGTTAAGACAGAGGACTATCTCCTTGGTGCACAGATTCTGGATGTAATGAGAAGGTTTCCAAGACCCCTTAGGCCCACTGATAATTATCCCTTTTTACTGATCCACATGGAAACAAATTACATAGCCAGACACATCTCTGAACATACTAAATGGGATTATGAAACACTGGGCAGGAAGATAAAGGATATATGGGCCAAACATTGTTTTCTTCATTTCTTCTGTTAAAGAACATGGCTCACAAAGAGAGAAAAGAGTAAAGAAATGAAAAGCTGTCTACACAGATGGTACCAATAGGAATAGTTTAGAATCTTTGACAACTGAGTATATTTTTAAGCTGAGGGACTTCTGGCAAGAGATGGGCTTGATCCAAAGCATTATTAACTAAATCCTATCAGGAAGGAGATGAGAGCTCAACAATACTCCTTCACCAGTATTGGAGACACTCAATAAGCATATAATTAAAGGAAGGGACAAGTCAAGTTTTGTGACCTGAGGATTTCAGTGCCTCTGTCCATACACACAGAGTATGACAAACAAATGGAAAACTAGAGGTCTTAATCCATATGATTTAGAAGGCATTACTGAAATCTGGTGGATGGAACTCATGAGTAGAATGCAAAGACTGAAGGGCATAACTCATTGAAATAAACCAGAGAAAAGTGGAAGAGGTTTGGCATTATGTATGAAGATAGTGTATATACTTACAAGCAAGTAGTTGATAATACCAGACAGCAAATCACACCAGTCAGCTTGAAACTCTGGAACAGATGATTAAGTAGTCAGTTTGTGAATATTTAGGAAATAATAAATTGCTTGATAGGAGCCAGCATATATTTATCTAGAAAAAGTTGTGCCAATCTGATTTCCTTTTTGGTGGAATGTCCAATTTAGTTGAATGAGGAGGACATAAAGTACCTTCATGGGCATCCTTGGGGGTGGGGGAAGGGAGGGGGCATATGCAACATCACACACAAGTACATAAGGAATGGCACTTGGATTATGGTGTCCCCATGCATATTTTTGTTGTTTGGGTGGAATTTCAACTTGCTGCAGATGCATCTCAGTATTTTGACTTCAGCAAAGTATTCAGTAATGTCTCCCATTAATTCTAATAGAGTATATAGCAAAATGTGGGCTGCTTTGTGATATGATTAGATGGATACTGAGTTGGCTGGACCATCATACCCAGCAAGTGTATGTCAATGGCTTAGTGTCAAATGTGAGGAAACGTACCACAGGATTCCATTCTGAGTCCTGGGCTGTTCAACATATTTACAAACAATTTAGATGAGAAGTTATAAAATATGATTGTCAGATTTGCAGGTGACACAATGATAGAGGAGCAGCAACCACATTAGAGAACAGTATCAAGTTTCAGAGAAATCTTGACAAATTCAGAGAAGGATAGAAATCCACAAGATGAATTTCAGTATGAATAAATATGAATTCTTTAACTTGAATAAAACAACCCAAAGGCAAAATTATATGACTGCAGAAACTACACTGGGTAGCAGTGCATGCAAAAGGGGCTTAGATGTCTTGATGGACTGCAAGTTGAACATGAGCTAATAGTGAGATGCAACTGCAAACAATCATCATCATCATCATCATCATCATCATCAAATGCAATCCTAGGTTGCATCAACAGTCATATACAGTGTCGAGATAAAGAGATGTTACTGTTCCTCTCTACTCTGCACTGGTCAAGCAACCTCTAGAATATTATATCTGGTTCTGGGCACAGTGTTTTAGCAAAGTCATTGATAAACTGGAGCATGTCAAGAGGAGAACAACTAAAATTGCAATGGATCTGGAAGGCAAAACCTAAGGAGATATTTGGTATGTTTAGCCTGCAGAAGAGAAGACTGCAGGTAAAGATGATAGCTAGCTTGAAGTACATCTGTAGGTCTGCCATATAGAAGAAAAGGCAGAATTGTTCTAGAAGCTGGAAAAAGAAACAATGGGGTCTAAACTGTAAGGACATCAAGAAAAATTTCCTAATACAGGTAGTCCTCACCTAACAACCATAATTGGAACTGGCAACTCCATTGCTAAGCAATGTGATCATTAAGTGAGACATCACGTGATCGCAACAGAGTTATGACCTCACTTCCACCACAATCAATAAGCGAATCACCTGAAGTCGTTAAGCGAGACATCATGTGGCTGAGACTTGCAATTTTACTTCTTCTCCATTAATTCTGCTTGTCAGAAGCTGATTGCAAAGTGCCCAGTGCCCAAATCTCAATCACATGACCATGGGGACACTGCAATGGTCATAAGTGCAGGGACTGGTTGTAAAGTTACTTTTTCAGCGCCATTGTAATTTTGAATGGTTGCTAAACAGGGCAGTTGTTAAGCGAGGGCTACCTGTAGTAAGAGCTGTTCAACAGTGGAGGTATTTAAAGAGAGACTGGTTGGCCATCTGCCAGGCATGCTGTAGCAGTGTACTAGGCAGAGGCTTGGACTACATGATCTCCAAGGTCCCTTCCATACATTCTATGGGTCTACATGCTCCGGTTTGCTCCAATATAAGCTCCCCTAAAGTAACTGAAAGGGTTCGAGAACACAGCAGATTTTGATATGTGCAGAAAAGAATAATTTTAAAATGTTGACTGTTACAAATCTATATTTTAAAGGTTACAAAAGGGGTTGCTAACAGTAGAAAATCCCATTGTTTGTAGAATGTCTGATGGACTAAACAAATCAATGAATTAACAAAATAAAATGTAGTACCTGATATCTGTTAAGATATTTTCAGTTTTATATTTTAATATCTATGCATAAGCTGGTAAGCATGTTAAACTAGTTTGCAAATTAGGTTGTATCTGCTTAAATCAATTGAATTAAACCACATAATTGCCATTTTTAATACATCTCAGCTCCTACTTTAATAGCAGCCATTTCCATAGAGAGATAGTATAGTGTGGTCGATAAGGACTAGACTAAGAATTGGTTCATGTCATTCAGCCATTGACCTGTCACTCTCCTCTAGCCCAGCCTTCTTGATAGGGATGTTCTTGTGATATCAAAATTAGGAAAGGCCCCAGTATAGACTCCCTTGAGAGCTTCTTACTAGTGAGTTATAAATGCAGTAAGTAAATAAAAACAAACAGAATTCTGTGTGCCATGGGATACCGAATGGCCTGTTCATTTGTTGTGAGGCAAATGCTTCAGAGGTATATTTTTTGGTTGTGAAGCTGGTTCCTTTTCATTTCTTTCCTAATTTCCTCTTTTCCCTAGAGGGAGTATCTATCCTGATTAAGCATTAGTATTCCGTTCTGCTTCATTTTGCCCCCTGCTTGCTCGTAAGAATTGTGTCTGACTTTCAGCCCTGCTGAAATAAGTCCCCAAATTAAAGGAGAGCAGATATTATATGGCAGAGTTCTGATTGTTGACCTGGCATCTAATATCCATTCCTGCACCGTATAATCTTTTCTCTGCTCCGATGATATATCAGGCACTCTGTAAATGGGTCATTTTAGTTTGCATTGTGATCTGCTTTTATGGTGATGTCAATCTTTCTTTGTCCCTGTCTTTCAGCTTCAGTGAAATAGTGAAGTTAACTCTCTGTGATGATTGCATGAACAATGAACATTCGATTACATGCCACTCCCTGTTATTCATTTTCCTATAAATAAAAAAAAAGTATTTTCTTCAGGCAAATGCTAATTTACCCCTGCAATAAACTGATGGTTCTGTTTAAAGTTTGAGCCCATGCACATTGTATGTACAAAGGAAAGTAGTTTGATTTTGGGGGTGAGGGCCCCCAGATAGATATACAGTTGGACAGAAATTAACTTCTGGCAGCATTTGAAAATATGTAGTTATTGGGGGCTTTTCTTCAGAAAATAACTAGTTTGAGACATTGCCCATTTCAACTTTTGACTTTTTAAATAATTTTTGGTCTCTTTCAGCAGTTGCTTTCACTCCACAGCAGACCATATCACAAACTGCTTTTGAAGTTACCTCTTAATATTTACCTCTTAATATTAATAGCTATTGTTGAAGAGAAAGACTTTGACAAATATCTTGGATGCACAGAATTCCTTGGCATGATTTTGCATAATTCTGTATATTTGGATAAGATAATGTTTGCATCAGCAAGAAGCTGCTGACTTAAATCCAGACAATTAGCTTCTCTTCACATAGACAAAGAGCAGACTTCTATCATACAGATGGGAATTCATGAGATGAACCCTTGCCCTCTATCTAGTTTCTGTTCTCTCTCTCTTTCTCTGTCTCCCAGGCCCACACCCACACACATCCCAATAGAAATCGGACAAACCAGGTCCCTGCAAGTTTGGACATTGCCATAGTACTCACCTATTACATTGTCTGTTTGTCAGAAGAGATATACCCCCCTAATTCCTCCATCATGTAAAGAGGAATGCTACCTCAGGTTCCTACAGAGATATATTTTCTATTCTCTAAGTGATGCTTACCTAGAAACCAGGAGACCATGAGTTCCAGTCCCGCCTTAGACACAAGGCCAGCTGGGTGACTTTGGGCCAGTCTCTCAGCCTTAGGAAGGAGGCAATGGCAAACCACTTCTGAAATCTTGCCAAGAAAATTGCAGGGACTAGCCCAGGCAGTTGCCAGGAGTCAAAAACTGACTCAAAGGCGCGCACGCGCACACACACACACACACACACACACAAAAGTAATGTTCACATACAGAATTGCAAAGTTCCATTTTCTTCAGAGGAGGAAGTGGTGAAAATTAACAGTATCTTTCTAATATTTGCTGAACTTGCAAATACAGACAGAATGTAAATGTAGGTAAACAAATTCTCTCTGGCAGGTAGCACATTCTTAGAAAGCAACTTGGTGACTTGCCCCCCTCCCCCTCCCAAAATGTTTAGTTAAGAATTCCTGATGGACCTGGCTGGCCACTGGGTGATACCAAATGCTGGGCTAGAGGGCCCTTGGTCTGATCCAGCAGGACTCTTTTTACATTCTTCTGTTCTTTAAAATACCCCATACTCAACGTAGCACAGAAGTACAGTTGCCCCAAAGATGTAATACAATAGCAGTCAGGGAAGAAACAGATTTTTTAAAGAAAATGTGTCAGACTGATGTATGCACAATAGCCTGTGAATAAGGCAGTCATCATACTTACTGAATGTTCTATACCTGTAGATCTGCTCCATATTCCAAGTTATCCAGGTATTTCATTCAGAACTTTTTAGGTTTGACTCTTAACATCTTGATATGTTATTCTAATGGTGTAATATTGGTTGATAAATTTAAGGAGGTGCCATTTCTTCATATCTCTGTAAATCAAATCCTATTCTTTAGTTTAAAATCATAACCAGAAGAGATAGGCTATTTTCTCTTGAATTAGAAATACAATACAGAAAAAAAAATCCAACTTTTGGACCTTATACTATAAGTTATCTTATGCCTGCTCTTATGTTTTTACAGATTTGTCTTAATCGCCGCTGCCAAAACACCAGTGTATTTGGTGTTCATGAATGTGCAACAAAATGTCATGGACGTGGAGTAAGTATTACAGATTCAATTTTTTATAGTCAGTCAATCTCCAGCTGAGCAATAAATCATTCATTGGTTACAGCACTTAAAATCTGTGATTCTTTGTAATATATCTGTCAAAGTCTTTTCAGCCTGTGCTTCCAGAAAGATCAATTTTCAATGCCCTTTCAGTGTCCAAGAAAGGAAATGTGGCTTTTATTTGAAAAAGCGATATCGCTGGTCACAGTGACCTTATCTTTGTAAAAATTAACATTCAGCAGTTTAAAACCTAGAATGAGTTCACTTACACTCTTGTTAATTTTTCAGATATAGCAGACTGGGGGGAAGGATTCCTTCAAAAATAACCAGCTGTTTGGAATAGAGGCAGATTTACATCTTCAGCCGAGGAGATGTAATAGAATTGAAATATTTTAAAAAATGTTTTACAAAAAAAAAAATCAAGTTAAAACATTTGGTGAGTCAGTCCTTCAAGTTTCCAAGGAAGTGTTCAGGGAAAAAATCAACTATGCAACTGAAATATAAACATATTAAAAGCAGCATAATCCACCATTACTATAAACAGTGTTATAGATAATCAAGCAAGACAGAAATTATGTGTGAAAAGCTGGAGCAGATATGATTTCTTTCTGTCTTGGATGATCAGCCTTCTAAATTTCAGTGGTGGAGGCTCCTACAGAAAATTTTCTTCAAAAAGTCCTAAACTTGGCCACCTGTGTTTGAATATTTTGCATAGTGTTTTGTTCTAGCATACAGTAATGTCCACAAGTATTTCAATGAGACACTTAACTATGTATGCACAACCCCCCTATATACTCTCAAATGAGATCCCAATGGTCACCGTTTTTTGTTGTAACTTCTTCAGGCTTGTGAGACGAGGTGCAATTTAAATTTATTTAGTAGATCTTCATTGATCTGAGAAAGCTATGGGGAAATGAGCAAATCCTGGAAACCCTTAAAGATTATACTCAATAATGCATGTAACACTCTAGGGGACCAATAAACTCCTTGAAAAATGGGCTGCCTTTCCATAACCCTCTGGCATTCCAACTCTCTAGCTACAGTATTGTCAGGTTATATGGCCGGAATTGCAGCTTCCAAACAAGAAAGCAAATTGTCTACATTCCTTCAAGGTGATACTCTAGCAGAGAAAATGCTGTCAAAATCATTCTGGACCCAATTGTGATCCTACAGTTGCTGTTTAATCTGGAGTTGATTATTTTGGTTCCACTGGGAGTTACATTTGGAACAATCTATAAATGGTGTAATCTTTATAACCTCACAAAGCATGATTGCTGTAGTTTATTTACTTTTATACTTTTTAAAATCTTTGGTAGTGCTTTCCACACTCATATTTGTACACTTCTGTTTTTGAGGTCTGCAACAATAAAAAAAATTGCCACTGTGAGGCCCATTGGGCTCCTCCCTTTTGTGATAAGGCAGGATTTGGCGGCAGCGTTGACAGTGGGCCAGTTAGACAATCTGGTGAGTAAACAGCCAAAATAAAAGAGAAAATAAATGGAGGAATTGGCTTTGGGCATCAGATTACCTAGGGATCCAGTTTTTATATCTGAGGATCCACTTCTAGGTGTCATTGTAAAGATAAATACATTCAGTTATGTGTAGGGTGGTGCCTTATTCTTTCACTTTAAATGCAAAAGTACTTACAGCTACATTAATTGAATGTGCCTCAGTCCCTTTATGGTAATAAAAGGTTGTTCATTCTCCTCCATAGACCTTCCTAAAATACAATCTTCTTCCTATTTCATTGTTTTCTGCTGGCACGCATCTTCATCTCTTTTACCTTTGTCCTGTTGGCTCTTTTATGTCTTAACACTGGGTCTCGCAAATGACAGCAGCTTAATATGAGTGACAGACTGGTACAAGCAGTGAGAGGAAACTTAAGCAAGATCACAGATGAACTCTTGGAGGGACTATGTTTTCTATATTCTACTCCATCTCTACTCATTCCTTCACCTGGCTGAATGTTGTGTTTTTAAACCCCATTGTCCTGAAACATCAGGATTTTAGCCACTGTTCCATACAGCCAGAGTTGGATACTCACGTAGTAAATAATATTGGAATAGGTTGTATACTTATAACAGAAAGTGGATTTATTTACAGGAGATACATAGGTAAAGCCTAGGATCTAGCTAACCACATCATATCAGGAAGAGAGCTCAGGGCCATGCATGTGTGCCTGGGAAGAAAGGAAGAAGGAAGTGATTTCTGATTAGCAAGCTGTTGGACAAAGAACAGGGAGAAGGAGCGGGAAAGAGAGGAAAACCTTAACTCTGAATCTACACACTACTGCCCTTTTGTGGTGAGGAGGTCATGAGGTGCTCAAGAGTCAGTGCTATTGAAATTGTACTTCAAACAAATAATTTCACTGCATTTGAATTCTGTAGGCACACTTCATGGGTGTTTTTGTTAGCACTACCCCACATAAAATTTGGGAATTTCCAAGAGGCAAAAGTAATTTTCTCCCATTTATATTAATTGTAAATATCAATGTTTCACCCCTAGAAGTCTCTGAAAATTGTTAATATTGAATTGTTCTTGCAGAATAATGAAGTTCACTTTTTCCTTCCATCAAGAAAAAGTAGCTAAATACATTTTGTAGAGATGTTCAGGGAGATTAGAATGGATAGCCAGCTGTGATGTTATACAACTAGCTAGCCAATCCTCGTGCTGTCCTTTTCAGCCCAACCCTAAGCTTTATCAAATTGTTACGTATTCCCATTGTGAAAAAGGCAGATGTAACATTAGGTTCCTTATATGGGTCACCTAAATCTCACCCACATGTAGCATACTTTGCTAACCTAGACAACTGCTTTGGCTTAGTAAGTCACATACAGTATTGACTTCAGTCTTGACATCCTTAGAGTATTGTTAACATTTTCCACATCATTCTTTTGGTTTTTTTCGCCAAAGACGTGATGATTGATTAAGTAGGAAATTTAGTAGTAACTAAGTTGATTCAAATAAGATCCACTGACACATACAAGAGCAAGATCACCCCACACAACTGTCATTCAAGAAAAAGAACTTAGAAGGCACACATGTGAGTGGGTGCACATATCCATACATTGATAATTTATTGAATTTTAAATATATTGTGATCCACCAAGATAACTTTGTTAAACAGCTATGTATTAAATAAATGGCTGTCCCTGTGCAATTGCCAATCATTGCTAAGAAAAGTAAAGTCCTTTCCAGCCTACTTAAAGATGACCAATTTTTCCACAGGCTTCTTTGCAGATGATATGTATGGACTGATAAGAATGGTCTTCTAGTTCCTTAACTTTTCAGTTTTTGGCAACCCTCTAAAAATGTCCTTTCCTTTTATTCTGTCTGCAAATCTTAGATTGGTTCATCTGTGCCTGAAGTTGGATAGGAATTGATTTTCCTCTTGCAAATCATATATAACCAAACCTTTGATGTCTGTAGTGATATTCCTATATTGATTAGATGTAAGAACAGAATCAGAGTTACATTTGTGCGCTCCATTACAGTTTGGAAATTATCTCAGTTTTGGGGGGATGGATAGCACTTTTCAAAGTAAATTAGATGGTATTTACCACAAAGATAGTGAAGTGTGAGGTAGAGTTCGTGTCATCATACAAATCTCCATAAAAATACAGTGGCATAATGATTCTACAGTAAGATGAAGTTGATTTAAAGCAAACTGTAAAAGAGAGTTCTTAATCAGACAAGAATCCCTTCTTGGAATTATAACAGCAAAAAAAAAAAAAAAAGTCCAGTGAATCTAATCACGGTTCAAAACTACTTATATTCAACAGCATTCCTGCTGACTATATAAAGCCAAGCAACAGCGGTGTGAAGTTTGGATGTGCTCATGCATTCTGCTTTTTCATTTGCAGCCTCTTTCATCCAACTATCATAACAACTAAACTGGTAAAATCCATGGATATGATCACATTAATGCTAGGCGTATGCTGCTCAATCTTTTTCCTAGTAATTTAAATGGGACTTTGATGTATTATATTGATCTTTCTCCATTGGTTTCAATTCAAGGAAGGACACAGTCTGTCCTCTCACACATGCTTTGAGTAGAATTGATAATGCCAACAGAGAAATTGGTGCAGGGTGCGAAGAGCAAAAGAGAATGAGAAATGGCACCAAAGGCTTAGTGTTGTCTGATCTGTTCCATTTCTCCTGCCTTAACAATCACCAGATAGGGTAGCAGTAGCCTCTGCTGTTTCCTAGAAACGTAAGTCTCTGCCTTTAACAGAGGGACATGGAAACATGAAGGTGTTGTTTATCTCTGAGTGGATCCATCTTTTAGCTTTGTATATCTTTGTAAAGATTTTTACTGTTTTCTATCACTTTTTTACTTGTAAGCTGCCTAGAGTCACTTATACAGTGAGATGGGTGGCTTATAAATTTGATTAATAAAATAAAATAAATAAATAAACATATGTAGACACAAAAAGTTTTTAAGTAAAGGCTGAAATCTACTGTTCTGTGCTAAATCTTTATTTATATAAAACATTTTTTAAACTGCCCAACAGCCAAAGCTCTGTGGCAGTTTACAATAAACACACCAAAAAAGATACATAAAATAATACAATTTGAGTTAAAACATATCCGATAAATCAACAAAAATATAAAATAAAGATACCACACAAACTAGGCAGCAGCAAGGTGGTTGTCAAAATCTAAAACACTTAAAATATGTAAATTTAATTATGATTAAACTATGATTTAAAAGCCTGGGAAAATAAAAAGGTCTTCCCCTGTGCCAAAATGAGGTCACGTGATCACCATTTGCATGCTTCACAGCCGGCTTCCGACAAGGCCAAGAGTCAATGGAGAAGCCAGCAGTAAAATCACAAGTTGCGGTCATGTGATGTCTTGCTTAATGACTGCATCACCTAGTGATGGAGTTGCCAGTCCCAATTGTAGTAGTTAAGTGAGGACTACCTGTAATTATATATAATTACATATATATAATATATAATTACAGTATATATTCTAATAATGTCCAGTCTCTTCCTAACTGCTGCTAGGAAAGCCATTATTTCATAATTCCAGTGTCTAAATAACTCTCTGAGATCATGTAGCATGGCTTTCATGGATGTTGCTCTGGGTGGAAGATGATGGCTGCTTATAGGAGCCTCTGATTTTTTATTAAGGCTGTCCACTAACATCATCAGGGACTGTTCTGGAGAATAGGAATGGGAATAGGAATTGCCAGCTTGGGAATGAAAGAATTTTAGACATCAGCAATTCGTTCCCTTCTTCCAGTTCCAGTTTCATGACTCCTACATTAGCCTTCCCACTCCCCAAATTGATAGAAGGGTTACTGCTCTTTTGCACTATACATGTTAGAAATTCAGCTAAAAGTTCCATGGAGAACTTTTAACTCAGTTTTAAATATAACAAAATATAGGGAAATCAGATAATGAACATAAAGCAATCCTTCTTTTCCAGTAAATACATTTATAATAGGGATGTTAATCTGTCTTGGGAGATGAAATAAATTTAAATTTAAATATATACATATTTAAATATATAATACATTTAAATAAATAAATAATGATAATAATCTGTAAAAATTATCATCTGCCACCAATGAAAAATGGGTGGGAACATGTAGTTGAAAAAGTAGTCGAAAATGGGCAGATTAAAATTCTGTGGGATTTTCTAATACAAACTGATAAAGTTTTGGCGCAAAACACTTCAGATTTAACTGTGGCTGAAAAGAAGAAAGTGTGGATAATTCATGTGGCAATACCAGGGAATAGTAGAATAGAAGACAAAGAATTGGAGAAGATCATAAAGTATCAAGATCTGAAAACCAAACTTGAAATATTATGACATAAACTGGCAGGGTTGATCCCAGTGGTTATCAGTACGCTGGGTATCATAGCAAAAACCTTGGACGGCACTTAGAAAATCTGCAAAATTTCCATCCATCAATTACAAAAGGCCATACTGCTTGCATCTGCATATATACTGTACTATGCGGATACATTACGACACCCTAAGTTTTGGGGAAGAACTCGATGTGAATGAAGGCCAACATTAGTTAAAGAACTGGCAGCTGTGATTTCACATTGTTGTGTAAATAATGATGATGATGATGATGTCATTGCCACCCACATAATTTGTAAATGTCCTGAATGCTTACCTGCATATCCTAAATTAACCATCTTTTCAAACGACAACACAGTATTTTGTAAGGCAATAGAGCAACAGGAGTTTTTGGCAGCTAATTGTTCCCCTCTTACTGCTTGAATTTAAAGATGAGCTCTTAATAGGTTTGGACACCTATTTGTTGAGACATTTATTCTAAATAGAAATAAATAAAGGGGAACATATGACCGAATATTCTTTAATAAGCTGGTGAGTTTTTATTCTATATACTCAGGTGTGTTGTCAGCATCTCCCTTCCTTCCTTCCTTCCTTCCTTCCTTCCTTCCTTCCTTCCTTCCTTCCTTCCTTCCACTCACTCACTCACTCACTCACTCACTCACTCATCCACACACATCCACGCAATCTCTTATTAACTCCTATTCAGTAGTTATATTGAGGGGCAAAAATAGTGATAAAGAATATCAGCACTAGAAAGACAGGGCAATTTCTTCTGAAAGAGAGATGTGGTTGTAATCTCCCCATACTTTTTGCCCAACTTTGCTCCAGGAATATAGGAATTTTACATAAATCAAGTGATGGCCTTGTGGGAAAGGCTACAACACTGCCAGAAGCTGGAAGAGGGTTCAGAGTTTTGCCATGGGTCTTTCACCTTGTCCATGTTAATTTTTCCGAAGTGGGGCTCTTCCGATGTACCAGATCTCTGCTTTCATAATCTCAGCCAGCATGGTCAATAAGGAGTAGTGATCCTTACTGGAGTAAGACTACTGCCTTGGGAAAGTCTCAGTTATTCACTGCAACACTATTTGAGCCATATAAGATGAAAGCACAGAATGTCTGCAACCGTGCCTTTTCTCTAATAAAAAAAAAAATAGTCCTTAATATTATTTGTGTGTGTGTGCATGATTGAGGATGAGGAATATTGCTACCAAAAAGCCTAAGTTGGTCTTTTATTTTACTTTCTTTTTAAATAAGGACTATGGATTTGTTTGTTTTAGATAACAGAAGCTTAATTGCAATACTCATAACCATCCTGTGCATTCTGGTGGCCGGTTTACTTGTATACTTCAAGAGGAAGACCTTGATTAGAGTATTCTTTATTAATAAGAAGACTACAATAGAGAAACTTAGGTATGACACTTAACATTACTCTTTTTTTAAACTACAACCTGAGAAAAACTACCCATTATCCATTGTTGGCTCATGTCTTCCAGAATGAGTATTATCATCTATATTATTTTGTTAATATCATTTATTAGAATGAAACATTTCAGTTTATTCAGTCAATAATAAGGTTCTGCCTGAATGTGTGCCTGTGTAATTAGTTCTTATTGATATGAAGTTGAACAAGTGTAGTGTGTGTCAAAGGGCAAAAGGGATGCTATTAGCCTAAAACAGAAACAACATGAGGAGTTATTAGAGGAATTAAAAGCACAGCTGATCCACTAAAGCAGGAATGGATGACCTGTAGCTACAGTATAAAGCCACATGTGGCCATTGACCAAATTCAAATCTGTTAAATCACCTTTAATAAGAGTTTTTTGCATTTCCCTTCCCTTGCAGCTTGTTGCTTAGGAGAAGGAGAGAATGAAAGGTGTCAGAAAGAGAAATAAAAGTTAGCGTCACTCACTTTGGATTCTAGCTCCATCTACTACTTGCTTTAGCTCCACCAACCATTAGCATTTGACCCTTCAGCACACAATCTCTGCAGGAATGTGACCCTGAACAGAATAAAATTTGCTTTTGCCAGCAATAAGGAATCATGCCTATCATATTGGATTTCTTCTTTTTTAAAAAATGCAGATACGTCATCTGGGAAAAGTCCATCTTAATGAGCTGGAATGGAGGGGGGAATTAACCCTTTCCTTTCTTGCCCAGGAAAATCTCTCTTACGAAGGAGACATTATTTTATTAATTTGGTTTATATACTGCCTTTGTATTCTACCAGGGTGACCAACAAGATACAAAATAAAATCAAATAGGCACAATTAAAGCATATAGATATCCAAATCAGTATTTGTATTTGTCAGTGGGTTCGTATTGTTATGCTTATTTTGCAGCATCTGAGACAGTTGATAATCTATTTCTGAGTGGCACTGGAGATATGGTTTCTTTTAAAGCCTAAAATTGCCAAGATACTGAAGGGATTATTTTCTCCTGTTCATTCATCTCAAGTAGAGAGGTTTTCTTGTCCCACCTATGATGAAAGGAACCACTCTTACTTGAGCAAAGTGAAAGGCTTTTCATTTGCTATTTCATGGAACGGAATACCATGCCTTAGGACATTCAGATGCCCTTCTGAAAACCTTATATAATATTTGAAATAAAATTGCGTTTAATGTTTAACCTTTGTTACCTTTTGGTTGATATTCTTGTTTATTGTAGATAATTTAATCATAGCTGTTTTGTATAATGTAGGCATATTAGAAAGATGAGGTGAAATATCTATGATGAACATAAATGATTTATTTTTTTCTGGTACTGAATCAAGGCCACAACACTTTGTGATGTTCTTGTTGTTTTTCATTTTGTTTTGTGATAAGCAATTAAAAAGTAAAAGGAGTTTGCCTTCATTTGCTCTGCTTGAAATATTGAAAGATTGGAAGTAGCCTTTTGTCTCTAGTCCATTGAATGAAGCACAATATCCATAGTGAAGGTCATTACTTCTTAAACACCAGCTTCATTAGAAGTATCTCTTGGGTGCTATAAAGCAGCATTTCCACAGATTGCAAGAGCTAATTTAACAGACTAGTGGTTCTAAACAACAAAAAATCAATATTTTTATTCTTGCAAGAGTGTTGGATGGATTTTACAGTCACTGTTACTAAAGAAAATAAAGATAAAGGAGTGTTATGTCAAAATATAACACTGACCTTATTATTTTCCAAGCAGTAGCTACCTTTAATGAGTGTGTTTGTGTTGCAGGTCTGTGAGTCCAACAAGGCCTTCCAGTTCATCTGAATCTAATCATGTTCATACTGCAACAGTCCACAGTAAAAATCTAGCCAAACAGCCACAAAGTGTAACCACACCCAAGGTGGGTTTTTGTATAGCTGAAGTAAATGAAAGTAAAGGCAAAAGCTCCCTTGAATCAGGCTCTAATCCAGGTGTCTACATGGACACATCTGTGTAGTTTTCTTGTTATCAGTCATTTGCCATTGCCTTCTTCCAAGATATGAGCAACCTTTGGACCAGTTAGCACCTACGTCTAATTATTTTTAAATGGATATCATTAAAAATGATGTTAATGTTTTTCTCGGTAGCTATTATTTATAATATTTATGTATTATATGCCTTTTCCAAGGTGCAGTACAACTCAGTAATTACAAAAATGTCACCCCCCAAAAAAATTCACAACTTAACAATCTGCCAATTAAACAAATATCAACAGCTAATACAAACTAAGGGGGGACGCGGTGGCGCAGCAGCTTAATGACGCTGAAAGTTGCCGGCCAGAAATGGTCGACACTTCAGCAGT